TCAGCTATGGAGTGAAAATATGAGTGCAGTGTCAACGCTCAGCAACTCAAATCACCCCTACCACATTGGCTACAAGAAGATTCAGAAAGTTGAAAAAAGAAGACACATCCCTCCCAGAGTGCAGAGGTTTGTGAAATGTCTTGTAGTGTATCCCCTCACAAAAGGATGCTAGCCTGCTCTGGCTGCAATCCTTACAAGGCATCCCAAGTTCCCAACAACTCTCTGGCCTTACTCAGAGGAATGAAACTATCGATCACCTGTACGCGTTGCGACTTCCATTGCCCATCTCTGGGCTGACGGGCCGCTGGCTGACGAAATATGATTGTGGTGATCGGCTCACTTGCACTGCATCACCAATGGAGCTTTTGAATGAAATAATGATTGGGTAGTGTAAGGAATCATTGAATTTTCAAATGCGGGTCTCAGGCTATCAGAAGGATGGGACTATGTGGCATTAGTCTGTCGAGGAGTTGTAATGCAAGAGATTTAGCGTGCACGCGACTCATTCCTTTCAAGCAGGAGGAGCTCAATGTCCAGCTGCCAGTAGCAACGGAGGTAGATTCGCTCCAACATCAGACTGATGTTGTTGGCTGACTGGAAAAAATGTCTTTCTAGGCAAGGCAAAGACCGCCTCTGGTTCAAAAAAACCTGGGCAAAGGACAATAGACTGACCTTCTTCACTACAGATGACAAAATGTCACAGGCAAGCTGGCTCTGTGAATAATTATTAGATCAATGGGCAGGGCCAACTATGACTTACATTGTCTGCTGGTTTGAGTTTCAGAGGTAAAGGCCAGCTAGTTGTGAGTAATGGTTATCAGGTCCACATCTCCTGGGCAAATCGGATATCACTTGGTTTATTTCAGTAATAGAGAGTTCGGGTAAGAGTTTAATAGATTGATGTTTTATCAGGTTCTAGCCCTTACTCCTCTTTTACCATTTTTTTGGTGCTTCAAGAGGTTTTTCGAGAAGAATAGAAGCTAAGAGAGCCTTGGTACACTAGACCCGGTTTCCAGTCTATGTAAAGGAGGTTTGGCTTCTCAGGTTCATCCCGGTTGAATTGTGAGGTTCCCGGCCTCAATGGCTACTCTGTTTTTGAAATAAAATTAACATGTACTCAAAAAGCTCAGTTGGTTAAGCACGCAAGTGGCATTCAGGATGTTGTGGGTTCGAGCCCCACAACCGCCTGTAACGCACAACCTCACACCCCGTGCGGCGTCCCCTACTTCGAACGCCGATCAGAGTAATTGGGGGTGTGGCCGAGGATTTTTTGTCGTGGGGTTGAATCCGCCGAACGAAACGAGATTCTTGTTCGGGGCGAGGGTTGCCTTGTTGAGGGTTCGTTCCATCGTTGAGTGCGAGGGACGGAGGAATAGATCGTTCTAGAGCGACCATCAGTGAAAGCCCAAAAAGGAACAGCAAACAGAATCGAAAAAGGAGGACAAAGGAGCGGAGTTTTTTCGCTCCCCGCTGCACGAGGTTCACCCGGCCCTAGGGGCGGTCGCTCCCGAGTCGTGTTTCAGGCCTCAATGCCAGACGCGTCGAGCCCGCGCGGATAGCCCCGCGCGGGGTCGCCTGGGAACGGGCGAGCCGAGGAAACCCAGGACCTGGTCCGAAAGTTAGCCGGGAGCGCGCCCACGTTGTAGGAGAATTCTGGGAATCGAGTCGCACCCTCGTATCCTAGGACTAGTCTTCGCCAGGAGCACGAATCCCCCTATCGGCACCAGCGACAGTTAAAGTGTGGTCGCCAGGCGGCGTGGGCCGCGGACCAAGGCAACACAGTCAGATCGGTGTAGGGCAGTACCACGCGAGGGGAAGAAAACCGATCGATCAACACAAACCCACTTGGACCACTCCCCCCAATATGGCAGGCCCTTGAGGGGCTATACAAATAAACTTGTTCGGTTCTTCGCAGAGCGCTCTGTATGTCTGCGTTGCAGTACACGTTGTCGTCGTCTGCAATGGGGAAGGCCGACAGCCTGCCGTGAGGGACCGATACGAAGGTCGAACACGGGCAGGGACCCGTGCTCACGTCAGTCAAGACAAACGCTGGCTCCATGCGACGATCGTCGAAATCCTGCCTTGTTCTCTCTCTCTCTCTCTCTCTCTCTCTCTCTCTCTCTCTCTCTCTCTCTCTCTCTCTCTCTCTCTCTCTCTCTCTGCGTCAACCCGCATGCTCGACCGTGAATCCGTGGTCCTGCCGAGTCGCAGAGATATCAGCCGCGTTGTGGAGATGTGAACGACTGATCGCTCCGGTTCTCGCAAGTTCTCGGGTAAAATTGAGGGGCGGAACCCGCCTGTTACGCCCGAATCCGACGTCGCTTGAATGGGAGGGGGAGCGAGAGTAGGTGGGCGCATGATCCCATGCATATACGTGGCATTAAGGGTGAAAAGGGACTTGGAGAAGCCATGCAGACGATCGACACCCAGTCAACCCTTATCATCGCACCTGGGAGTGCGCACACACGCTTACTCGTAAAGCCCTCCTAGACCAGGAGACATTCAACACCCATAGACTCTCATACCAGAACATGCATACGACAGAATACCCATACATCAGGACCGTGCACACATTACACTGGGTCAAAGCAGCAATGGAGATAAAAGTGAGTCCTTAACACGCAAACTTTCTCACACGGCTGGCCGCCTCGGGCCCAGCCTCCAATCCGTCAGAACCACCTACAACCATAGCCACAAGGCCCTGCCTCTGTCGGCGCCCGATCTCCACCGCCGCTCAGTCCCTCCGACTGTCTTACCCCAAGTCTATCACTACGCCCGCCCCACGTCGTCACTCCGCCCGTCACTTGGGCTCATCAAGCCTGTTCGACGCCGCAGACCTTGCGCATAGCTCACGCAGCATTGCAGCCGAGATCAAAGAGAGCGAGAGGAAGGGGTTCCGAGAATTTATAGCGCGGAAGGTGGCAGAGAGCCAGCGTGAAGCACAAGGTGTAGATGAGCAGGACAGAAGAAGGGCAGAGGTTCCAGAAGGATCGAAGGAGGCGAGTCGAATGATCAACATGATCGGGGTGGTTGTCCAAGTGGGGCGCGCCTTCCGCTCTCACCACGTTGACCCGACCATCCCAATCACACAGCCAATCGTTTGCAGACTTCGCTTGAGGGGAGATGAAGGGGCATGCAAGAAGGGAATGCGCGGCAAGAAGAGAAGATGGCGCGGGAATGTGAAGCGGGGGAAAGGGTTTACGCGGTGCACAAAAATTTGAAAAACAGCCGGGCGTGCAAAAATTCAAAATTCAAAAATTCCTACCCACGTGAATTCCCAACTGTTTCTTGAATTCCTCGGCGTGGCTGCTAACCGACCGCGCGAAAAAGTCATCAGGGGTAGTTCTCTTTTCAAGAAAAGGGGAAAAAGAAAAAGAAAAGAAAAATAGACCCCGCTCTTTCTGATCACCTAGAACCCGCACTTCGAGAAAGAGCACCTAGAACCCGCACTTCGAGGCTTACGTGGGATTTTCCCTTAAGGGTACGGGAAGCCACTGAGTACGGATCCTGGCTTATCACACCCCTGCGGTGCACTTGGTGCCAACCAGTGGTGATAGTCTGCTTGATACCTCTGATTGGTATTATCAGTGTCCTTGGCCAACACGGGTGTGAGTCTGAGTGTGAGTGGGTTGTGTGTGGTGTGTGGGAGAGTGTTGACCTTAGACACTGCTGTTATTCAGTTGCTTGGGGGTGGGGGAGGATGAAAAGGGAGGCGGAGCTACTGGCAAAATGCTCGGTCTTTGCTTTAGCCGGACCCCCCCCACCGGCGGCCCACCCCATTGTTGACCACCATGGTTGGGGCGGGGGGCAACATGCATCCCCTTTGATGGCTAGAGGGAGACAACAAAAGCTATGTTTGCAGGGGTCCCCTGTATAAGCCTTAGGAGTAGTGGTAGGTAGGTAGTGAAGGTGAATTGAAAGAATTTGAAAGATGATGAAAGATTTGAGAGAAGAATATAGCGTAGTTGGAAAAAAAAAAAAGGAAGAAAAATCAGCAAATGGGATCCGAAAAAGTTTTTACGGACCATACAAAGCGGGCCAAACTTCTAAGAAGAATGGTCTCAATTTGTCCTTGAATGTTGCATTTTTTTTATTTTTATTTTTTTTAAAAGGGCGATGGCCTTGAGGTATTATCATCGGACTAACCAGCCCAGGTAAATTCAATCTTGTGTCTAATCTGACAACGGTGGCCTTTTCAGCCCAGGGTGGCCTGATAGCCTTCAGGGATGCCCCACTGGGGGGCACCGGCCAGGGGACAGCCGGTAGCAGAGCGACCGAGCATCATCTGAGTGGCCAGTCGCTGTGCGACCCTGAGTAAGCCCTCAGAGGCCCCTTCTTTTGTTACAAAAAAAAAACCTTCTACGAAGCTCCACGTGGGATCAGCCCCTAAGGAGAGGGGAGGTCAGCGCGGCCGGGAATGGGGCGAGTTCAGGCTGCGTTCTATTCGAATAATGGGATAAGGTATACTCCCTGGAAGTTTGTCATACGCCGACGTTGCAAAACAGCTCTGGGTCTGACAGCTGTGAAACGGACCCCAACAACGTATGAATTGAACGTGGATGTCAATCGGGTCATATACAGTCGGGAGACGGGATCATACCGTCACGAGTTTGTGATTCAATACGTCCGGTAGCTTTGGAAGTTCCTCAACGAACAGATCTCCGTGTCCCATGAGGGCCTAGGTCCACTAGCAAAGGGAATAATTGCAGTCAACGCCCGAATCTAGACAGAACAATGGACAGGTGCAGATAATAAGCGAGATTTAGCTGCTTCTCGGCGAAGTTTCTTGTAACCCATCCCGATTCAGGCGCTCAATCCAATCCTCTTTCCTAGTGCGACCAAGCTCACCGAAGGTGCGACACATAGTCAGATCTATCGAAAGCGAAAATATATTCAGACCTCTGGCTGAAAACGATACGGCAGGATATTCCATGCTGAAGAGGGTTGCGGTAGGATGTGAGCGGAGTGCTCGTGCTCTCATCGGTCTCCGGAGTGCGGCGACCGGCTGCTTTTTGTCGTGGAGTGCCCGCTACATATGACCGTAATGTCACTCGGGCTGCTATGACCGGCTGTAATTACGTTGATGTCATCAGGAAGTCGTGCGTATACTATTTGGAGACCATCCATTAGGCTGTGACGAAGAAGGCATCTCCGGGAGAGAGAGAGAGAGAGAGAGAGAGAGAGAGAGAGAGAGAGAGGTGAGCTATGGAGACTGCGAAGAAAATGGTGCACTCGATGTCACGTCTTCGTCAGATGAGCTGGAAGAAGCTGAGCCTCATCGGTGCTGGTGTGGGACTGGCAGCTATGGCGTTGATGATGCTCACTGTCGTGACGTTGGTAGTTGGTACTCCCGTGTTAATCTTCGGAGGGATCGCCCTTCTGCTGGTCTCACCATGCCTCTGCTGCACTGCCCCGCTATGGCTACCCCCTCTTCTCTTCATCGGCATCCCTACGCTGATYTTCTTCGTCGTAACTGGAGGAATTGCAATGTTTCTTGCAGGTGCGTAGTGAATCATCATCATGATCATCATATCTTCATCATCATTCTGAAAGGCACATTTACTGACGGCTAGGTGCCTTCTTTCCATTTGCTAGAATGTATGCTTATCTAATAATCATAACTAGATATTATGCATGAATACCCCGTGACGACTCCTGTCTGTGGATCTCTCGGACGTTCAAGAGGTTTTATTCTTTCCTGTGCGTTGAATGTCTCCTTTCCAGTGCAACCACGCAGCAAATGAGGCTTGTCTTTGCATGGGCGCTTATCTCTGAGCCCTTGTGAACTACGCGCAGACGCATGCACACACACACACACACACACACACACACACACACACACACACACACACACACA